TTCTCAAAAAAAATGGAAGATGTAAATAATCGGGAAAATATGGAAATATCGAAGGGATACAGAACTGATACAAAAAAATTATGAAAAGAAAATTCAATGCAAATAGGCCGTGTCTGCATATTATCTGATAAACATTGTCAGATGTAAACCGAAACTGTTTCCATCCATTTAGAAGCTCCTAAACCGAGTGGAAACAGATGAGATTCCGGAATAAAATGGCTTATTTATTTTACAGAAAAGAATAAAAAGAAAACAATCGCAATCCCACGGGGATATAAATTACTAAAAGGATTATGCTAAATGCTAATAAGTAGTCAATTAATATGGCCCTGACAATAACAGCGACATTATTCGAGAAAGCCAAGAGTCCATAATGCAATCTTGTTCGTTAACATGTTAATTTGGAATTACTTTTTGGAACATCGTATTAAATAGGTACAACTAAACACGATTGTAAAAATTCGATATAACAAGCAATAATCATTCGCCTTACTCTCAAGACAGCGACGCCTCTCATAACAAAAATGCCACGATTGAATTTATAAAATTAGTATTGAAATTGTAATGCTCTCGCACCGCTGTGATGGCACAAAGAAAGGATGAGAATCTAATAAAGTTCAAGACCATCCTATTATTGAAATTTAGTTTCTCAATTTGCTTTGTTCTCATAGGGTCAGTGTCGTTTAATAAAATGTTTACATAGAGTGTACCAAATATACTGTGCAATTCAACTTACAAGAGAGTCGTTTTTGTTTTACCATAATTTTCAGCTTGCATTCTGAGTAGTTGCATGCAATTAGGTATACTATTATGTAATCAGATTCGCCGTTTTTCAATATTACATTGTTAGACGCTTAGCTTTCCCTGCCCATAAGACAATTTGTTTTTCAAAATAAGGAACACAAGCATGAAAATAAAACAAGAAGAAGAAGCACCAAGACTCTAAATTGAAATAACAAATTAACCAAAACTGATTATGAATATCAATTCGACAAATAGGCAATAATCAACCAAATATTTTATTTCCGAGTTTAAAATTTTTTGACAGAAAATAAAATAAAACCAAATATAATCGTGTCCACTAAAATAACCCGCTACAACGATAAAATACTTGGGCCAATGAAGTTAATATTTGCAATAAAAAAATGACGGGTAACTCTTCTTCCTAAAGCAGATTCACTTAAATGATCCAAAATGTACAGTGTGTCTCACTGTAGTATTAATTATAATTAAGTGATTCAGGCTTTCGCGGCCAGCGTTTGAACTGTAAGTGTTTTTGTTCGGGCTTAATGGCCGTCGTTGAGTGGAATTTCTTCCTGACGTTTCACTAGCACTAGCGGCTACCTTCTTCTGAGGTGCTTCCATCTCCGCTGTTGGATGCAGACTGACGCGCTCCCGGCCGTAAGTTGTATTTATGCCTGGGGAGTCGTGGAGGGGAGAGGGTGGGGCATTGTGTTCCTTAAGATGGGGTTCCAAATTTGTTTGAGCTACAGTGTATCTTCTTTTCTATTGAAATTATTTGTATGTTTATGGATTTCTATTGCTTCTTGTACGAGGCGGGCATGATAGCCCGAAGTGGGCGCAAGAAGCCTGTCTTCTTCAAAAAGAATGTTGTGATCCCCTTCACTGAACGCGTGTTCCGCTACTGCCGACTTGTCCGCTTGTCCCAGTCTGCAGTTTCTCTGATGTTCCTTTATCCTGCTTTTTGTCGTTTCAACGTACACTTTCAACACGTGCATGGTATGCGGTAGACGCCGGCGGCTGGCAGTGGATCTCTCTTGTCCTTGGCTGATCTTAGCGTTTGTTGTATTTTCCTTGTTGGTTTAAATATTGTGTTAATATTATGCTTTTTCAATATTTTTCCGATCCTGTCTGTCACTCGAGGAATAAAAGGTAGATAAGCACCGGCAATCGTTAGTTGTTCACCCGGATCTTGTCGTGAGGCAGTTCTGGGCCTCATAGCACATAGCACATTCTGCGAAAGGCTCGACCACCCACCAGCAACCTTTCCCAGAAAGAATTACTGGCAATCAAAAATTTGAATTCAGAGGAAGACATCGTTATGAAAACCGACGACTATAAACGCAAAATTGAAGATCTTCTTGATTCGTCAAGCTACCGAAAATTGAGTAGGGACCCAACACAAGCAAAACTCCGGAATACCAACAAACTTATCAAATCTTCCACTCTATCGGATGCGACACAGAGAATCCTCGTAAGAACAGAAGCTGTATCACCACGACTCTATGGCCAGCCGAAAATCCATGAGATTGATGTTCCACTAAGACCAATAGTAAGTGCACCTGATCACCCACGTACAGCCTAGCCAAACACATCGCATCATTGCTCCAACCCCACGTAGGAAATTCGGAGTCGTATGTCAAGGACTCAACACACTTTATCTGCAAAATTCAGGATATAATTCTCCAGCCAGATGACATCCTTGTCAGTTTTGATGTTGTGTCCTTATTCACAAAGGTCCTGGTGAAAGAATCTTTAGACCTGATCGCAAGAATTTACCCAGATGACATTGCCAAGCTTTTCCAGTCTTGCCATACGGGCAGTTACTTCTTATGGTATGGCCACTTCTACGAACAGACGGATGGGGTAGCTATGGGAAGCCCACTTAGCCCAGTGATAGCCAACGACTTTATGGAGGAATTCAAGCAGAAAGCGATCAGCTCGTCTGAATACAAACCATCAAAATGGCTCCGATACGTGGATGACACCTTTGTAATTTGGAGTCATGGAAGAGATAGACTTGATCGTTTCCTGGATCACCTAAACGCTCAACATCCAAGTATAAAATTTATCGTGGAGACAGAACAAAATCAGCTAATAGCGTTTCTGGATGTTCTAATAAAAAGACTCAATGCGAAACTAAGCCACACGGTGTACCGCAAGCCGACTCACACAGACAGCTACCTACCTACATGCCTCGAGTGACAGACAGGATCGGAAAATATTGAAATATTGAAGCACCTCAGAAGAAGCTAGCTGCTCGTGCTAGCGAAACTTCAGGAAGAAATTCCACTCAACGACGGCCATTAAGCCCGAACAAAAACACTTACAATTAATTATAATTATAAGTATTTATAATTATAATAATAATAATTATTATTATTATTCGATGATTCTAGGAGCACTTTCAAACTACATTTTGATAAATATAGTGAACTTTATCATTGAATCCGAAAAAATATTGAAATCGATGGATTTTTTTAATACTAAAGGTGTCAGTGGATCTATTTGCACATCGTTTGAGATTTCTGAGAGCTCTCCAAAATATATAACGTTTTTACAATCTTTTATGGTTTTGACTTCGGAATGAATTTAAGTCTCGCCTGTTGGAAAGCGGAAGGGACCTTCTGTTCAGCACGCGCACCACCACCCAGCGCCATATTTAAGATGTTAGCCGACAAGAACTGTGCCGTTCGGACTGCTGTATTCTAAGAGTAGTATTTAAAAGTAAGAATGGACATTTCACTGCATAGACTAATAATAATCGAGAAATCTCACCGATGAAACTCCACACAAATCCGACAGCTTTCAGCATTTGTATGCACGAAGTACCGAAGTACGGTTCTGGAATGTCATTCTGGAATTTCGAATCTATTCATTGGGGGTCACAAAGAGAAACCTAAGCGAGGTAGACCTTCATAAAAATTTACCAAAGTTAAATACCGGATTATGTCGTAAAAACGGTATATAGTTAGAGAACTCTACTAAACAGCCTGGTGGTTGGATTGCAACGGGTTTAGCGGATTATATGTTATCGAATTGGATTGTTGTTATGTATATGTTGTATACTATGCTTTTGCTACGACCTTCGCTTTTTCGCAACATTTTTGCAAAACAGCACGGATATCACAGATATATTTCTACATCCCATCGCTCCCAAACCAGTGCCTAAAATACCGGAAACCTAAGAAGTGGCTTGCGGCCGTTAGTAACGTAGCTCACGTCTCTTAAAGTCGTCTCTTATAGTGACACACGAGATAACTCTTTATTTGTTTAAATTTTTTGTATGTTTTTTTACTAAGTATTCCAGTTTTTAAGAGTAAACTAATTAATTAATACTTCAGTAGTCCCCCTCTTGCACAACATGCTCAATAGCTATGAAAGAGCTGCTACATAAGCGTATCGAAGAAAATTTGGAGTAATTAATTTAAATTCAGACGTACTCGGTACGGCGTAAAGACGGTTTCTCTATTTCGTCACCACCTGAGTGTTCTGTGACAACTATAATCGCTCAGAAATGTAGGTGTGATAAAAGTTCACATTTTCGCACCCATGATTAAATATAACAATTCACACAAATAGAAAAAAACAAACCATTGCAAAGAATTTATTTATAAAGAGAGAATTGTATCAATTTAATTTTTCTCACCTAACCTCTAAGCTGTTAATTCGAAAATAAGTCTTTTTTTTTTAACTAGTACTAGTAACAGAAGAAGATTTAAAGAACGAGTAAGTAAATAGGAACAAAAGAACTTAAAATATACCTTTGTTAGTTTGAACAATAAGTTTTAAATAGTTAGCTGACCAGGCAACAGGCTGCAAATTCTTAATGGCGTAGGCGATATGGATTGAGCATTTGCATTCCGTTTTACCCTGCGTTTTCGGAAGTTGCCATATGATTTGTTATTTTTGTTAGTAGTTAAATAACTACGTTTAAGTGGTATCAGATTTTTTCATGGCAACTTAATTATTTTAAAGCTTAAGTATCGTAACATGTATTCCATAATGCTTAGATTATTATTGCGGATATTAACTAGAGGGTATTCGATTTTAAAATGTTGATGGGAATAAACTTGCAGGAATTTTTTTAAGCACGTTTCTACCAAATTTGGGGTATATTAAACTATATGTAGGAAAAAACTTATTTATTTTCAAGCCATCAACCATTTCTATGGTAATTAGTTGACAACACATCATTTATTAAATAAATTTAGAAAACAGAATAATTTACACGGTTCTCAGATGCTTGTTTTTTGCAGATCTATCTCAATAACAGCCGACAACACAACCGAAACTATTACGCAGCACTCTAGCCTGCTTAAAAGACTTTAACCGTCGCAAGGCAAATCATGGAAGTGGTGGCAGCCGCCCCCGGTCCAACGGGCGGCGCAGTGTCGCCCTTTCGAGATCACGACGTGCGCGAGTGGTCGAGGATCGACACGATCACAGGCGCCCTCGAACGGGCGCGAATCGAAACCGACAGCTGGACGGCCAGTACAAACGATGGATGTCATAAATACGGAAAGGTAATTTTTTGTTATTATACTTTAATTATTAAATTAAGATTGAAAATATTTTTTATTATATTTTACTATAAGTTTCAAGTGACGTTACCGATAGTAATTTTTAGTAAATCAAACAGTGACCCTTATTTTTCTACTCCCGCCTGTAAAATACCTATATAGCTATAAGATAATATAGTGGCCCTACTACGGTAAAAGTTGATGCGCCGCAGGTGGCTATGATATTTTCGTAGAGAAGGTATGGATCTTTGCGCATGCGTCTCCGGCCAACTGTCCGAGTTGGAAAAATGATTAATTTTTATAAGAACGCAATATCAATCTCTGAAATCCGAACATAATTGGCAACGCCGAGATAAATAATTACTATTGTCGCAGAACAGCACCATTGTTGTTTTCATTGTTTTAATTTGTGCTTCGAATACTTTGTTCTTTTACGAAATCACAACAAATTTGGCAAATATGAGGAGCTAATATGACCTTAGGGAAACAGTGATATCTATTTATTTAACATTTAACTAACTGGAAAATAGACTTACAGAAATTACTAAACAGAATTCTGTACATTTTTAGGTACACTTAAATAGCTAGGAAGAATGTTTGGGTAATATGTTTTAGTGTACAAGAATTACAGGAAATATAAGAAAACAATTAAGCTACAAGTTGAATTTTTACTAGAACAAGCATTGTCAACTAATGTCTATAGGAAGTGCTTCTTGAACATTTTTTCCACTTAGATGTTTCTTGTGCGATATAGCATCTCAAAGTTATTTAAATAGAGATTAAACCTATGAGGAAAACTAACGCTCTGCGCCGATTTACAAGAAAAAAAAATCTGAAAAATAGTTTACTTGAACGAATGGACTTAAAGAAAAAGCCAAATTAATTACGGAATTATGCTGACGCCGACGCGGGTGCTGCAATTCGGTGCTGCTTTTCCACACCTTAACGAAAATTTAATAGGATTACGACATTTATTTTGAGAAAATACTGCCGTAAAAATGCCGCATCCAAATATAGACGATCTGTTCATGTTGTTTGTTGAAAGCCACAAGGTCATATGGATCCAACTACAGAATTTATCTTTAGAGCTGCCATTGGTTAAAAAGGAAATTTTAAATCTCGCGCATGCGCACGTTGAATGGACGTTTTCAAAAAAATTTTACATAGTTGCTTTATGAGTTCCTATCCTGTCAGCATAGGCAGGGTCTTTATAGGTTTAGTAACTATATAAGAGGAAACGCTAGGAAAAAATTGAAACCAAATCTTTAATTTTCCGTTTTTTCCAACATCTCCGGAACCAATTGTAATGTTAAAGGTGTTTATAAGTAGCATATTTGGTGTAAAGTAAAGCTAAAAACTACACTTTTCAATAAAACACGTTAATATTTTTTACTTATTTAATAGACGCCTAATTGTAGATCGACAGATAGATCGATTCCTCATATGAAAATTTTGCATTTTTATTGGCGGCGCTCCCAAACAAACGTTAAAGCATTATAAATAATGTTTAACATTAACTTACATAATAGGAAAAACAATAACGGCAGTAGCGACATTTACATGCTATTAAATTTGAATGGATAAATCAATTCCGTGTTAGTTCATTGTTCTGGAGTATATTAGAAAACGGGCTTTTATATGATAATTTCTTGTTTACTTTATACAAATCCACTGGCTAATCGGTTTTAGAACGCGCCATCTTATGTCACTGATGTTGCCAAAATAGTAATAATTCTTACGTCACAAACTACAATTAAAATTAATTAAATTTCATTTAAATGTAACCTATAAAATACATTTCGTTATATCAAACATAACTTCCCTTTATAAACTCAGTTGTTATATAAAGTGTTTTTGCTTCAATAATTCTCGCTGTAGTCTACTTATTTGTTGCAATAGAATTTTATCAAATTGGCGCGATTCGTTGCATAAAAATTGTGTAACACAAAAAATTTGCACCGTAATGGCAGTTACGTTGTTGCATTGAAAAATGAAAACGGAAACCAACTATCGCCATCATAAAACGGAAAAATAATAAAACGGAACCTATGGGATTGGTTATTAGTTATAATGTTGCATTTGTTTTTTCTTGAATTAATGTTCAAAATCCATTATAGAAAATATAAATGACGCGACTGGTCCCCAATGTTCGACACCTAAACCAAAAATTTAATTCAATTTAAAAAGTAAGTCATGGATATTTCATATAAATTTTGATATATTACCAAGAAAAAAAATTTTTATATAAAATATTACAACTAAGTTTAGTCATTTTTTTCCAAAAGACTTAAAATTAGCCGTTCAACGCACGTAATTTGTCGAGACCAATTTTGCGATATTATAATTAGCGATCTTTTGGAAGATAATCGCAGAACGCGTGCTAATTTATACGGACACATATCTTCGTCTTTCAATCTATGAAACGAATTGCAAGAATGCAGAAAATAACAACAATAAAACGCACAATGAAGCAATAAAATAAATCCCCAGCGTTCTACGAAGATGTTTCGACAAAAAGCGAACAGCACGCACCGTCAAAGAGGGTTCTATCTTTGCATCTTGTAATTATACCGCTAAAATTGCGAGTGTGACTTCCTTCGTCCAGTGGCGGAGCGCATTTGATTTTAAGCGCATCCACCATTTTAAATGTATGTATGTATGTATTGTATGAATCTTCAGTGATTTTTTAATTCTCTTTTTTGGCCAACTTTCGGGTAATGTATAAACAGTGTATGAAGTAGTATATTTAAAAATAGGGTATAAAAAAATCCCAGAAGGCTCTGCATTTGCATGTAGGAGCCTAGAATATGAACAGGCTTCAATTAAATGTATAGAATTTGTAGCCCAAGCCCTAATTTACTTTCCTAGGATTAACATTGTGCAGGGACAGACAAAACTTTAATTAAACGACCCAAAAACAGATAGAAAAATTTTAGTTTAATACCATTCAAAACAAGATACTTCATTTACCCGCAACTGAAAAAAAAAATGCTGACTTTGAAGACGGCAATTAGTCAAAGATGGATATCAATCACGTCTATTATTTACAATAATTATAAAACTTTGCTCCCATAAAATTTTGTTTTAAGAAATTTTGGTAAAGGCAACAAAAAAGTTTCTTTGTTTTCCACACAAATTAATTAAACGATTGTGTGCGAGAAAAATCCCTGATCCATTATCTAGTGACTCATCAAATCATTCCTCTGAAAAAGGACAGGAATAAGTGATACAATAAGCAGTATAACTGATTTATGATAGCTAGCATGAAACTGCAGTTGCTATATTGTTCCTGGTCTATGTTGACAATTTCTTAAGCATAACAGATTAGGACAGCAGTATGTAACACGTGATGGAAATAAACATTATGAAATATTGAACACGAATTAATATCAATTACATATAAGCAAAATTTGTAGTGCATATTCAGTTAATAAGAAGTCTAGGAATGATGATATAAAACTAACAGCAACTTAAAACATAAATGTAACTTATCTGGAGCGCTACATGTGGGATTTAACTTCGGCATCAAGAATTACACCAAACAATAATAATTTCCGAGACAAAATTTTCTTTGTGATATTGATAAACTAATGATAAACTAGTCTAACCAAATAGCGTAAAAAAGAAGAAAACTTAAAACAAAAAAAAATTGTAATGAGTATTTAAAATACTGAATTTTATATTTTACTCCACGCCAGTAAAAATGGAGGACAAGTTCCAAATTAGGCTCTCTATGAAAATTTGTAACAATTTTTTTTTTTGATTGTGCACTTTCTAATTTCGATAGATTGGTTCGGGAAATCAACTACAATTATCTACTCTAAGGAAGGAAACGGTATATCTAACAAATTAGTCAATTATGTTTAATGGACGATGTACACGCAATTGGAATCATCGTAAGTAACTATATAACGAAACTCTTTATGTGAAAATTTAGAAGCTATTCGATTAGCAGCAAAATACGTTCTAAAACGATAAAAATTTGGGCTAGACGTTCGTCATACAATCAAATATTCATTATATATGTATGTATATATAATTTTTTTAAATTTTAAATTTCATATAGAATCCTGAATCTATCATTTTAAGTAACGTCAATGAAAATTTTCAATTTAGGTACCGTAAAAGGATGATAGTGAAACAAATAAGTTTAGTTACAAATTGAGAATTAAAACTAACTTTTTTCTTTTTGATTACGAAGCACATTCGAAATCTAAAACCACGACGGGCACTGCATTCGACAATCACTACTGGTTTTGAATGTGCAAAGCTTGACCCTGATCTACTTGTATTGTCCTTTCTTATATTATCACGATTTGGCGTTTAATAAAATAATTATAACATTGACCGCTGTCGAAAAAAAGTTTATGGAACCGTCATTTTGTAAACCGGATAATAACCGCGGAAGTGTTACCAAAATAGCCAAGGTGTTATATTTTGGCGTGTCCAAATTTTGTTTTCGTTGTTAAAACGAAGCAAAATCGGATTTTAGTGGCGTTTTTAAACTTTCGTGGTGGAAGCAATATACACAGGTTCAAATATAGGACCGTCACTATGAGGATCAGATCCGTCAGGTTCGCCCCCATTTTTAATAAATTATTGTGTTTTAGCTGTATTCATTTGGGACTTAAAAATGGTGCACAATTCGTTTGAATACAAATATAAATATATATTAGCATAAATAGTAGCATAATGGAGCGCACATTTTCGGAGTCATCACAATCCAACTAAATTGTTACACATCGCAATTCACTGCAAGAACTCACTGAGCTATGGGTATTTTTTCAACGGCAACAAATTTGGTTAAATGAGATAGAAAGTTGCGCAAACGTTGTTTTCACTCTTTTCTCATAAACAGCATTCATTATATATCCCTATCTATATACAAAAATACAGAATCAACAAAATTATTGACCAACAGCTATTTATCAGTATAATGTAGTGATAATTTTCCACACAGACGCCTAGATTTATTATTAAAATAAATAAGACAAGTAATGAGA